TGTTGCAAAATAGAAGCCACAATGGGATCTTCACATCAGTCTTTGGTGAACCTGGTTAATGATTTATTTACTTCAAATCTTCAATGAAAAAGACGTAAAACAAGGTTTTTTTCCTTGAAATTGAAAAAACTGTGATGTCTAAAGTCTTAACCAAATTGTTTACATAAATGGGGTTTTCTTTCATATAAGTACTATCTATTTCCTGACATCAAGATGATGTAAAAAAGCTTTAAAATATTGACAGGGATAGAGACATGGCCAAGACTTTAACACAAGTTCATTCCCTGGACCAAGATCTGATTTTGGATGACTTCCAGTAATTCTTGCCACTAAAAGCTCCAACGGTCTAACCTTCTTGAGAACCAAAATGCACATACATATACCAGAAGAAGACACTCACACATAGCATAATTAAAATAAAAACAAATATTTAAACTAATTTTCAATCATGAATGTTTTTCTATTATAATTCTGGTAGCATGGGTTTTGAAGCATCTAAATGATTACAAAAATTTTCTCCATAATGACTTTGTCCATTTAACAGAAAACAAGCATGCAGTCTTGAAGTTGGAGTAATCTATCATTTTCAGTCTGTGACGTCATTTGAGAAGTTTTAGAAAATGGTGCCCTGCCCGAATAATTCAGTCTTGAGGGTTGGCCTGAGCGTTTACATCTGCACACCATTTCTAATTTACACTTTTTGCTTTATGCTGCAGGACAAGAAGGTGAATTCTTAGCTGCCTGCTTTAGCTGCCATGTCTGACACTTGTTTCCATGTCACTTTTATGGGGCTCATGTATTGCTCTGGAACCAAGGGCTAAATTAAAACATTTTCTAAGTTCACTTAGATATGATCTATTATCAAAGCAACAGAAAAGCAATGATACACATCTATGAAAATTTACACCAGAATTCATTATTTCATGTATTTGAAGAGAAGTATGAAATCTAAAAGGGTTACATTATCATTTAAATTTATGTCTTTTGTCCATAATTATTTTTAGAGCTGAAGATCGAACACAGGGCCTTGTGCCTGCTAGGCAAGCACTCTACCACTGAGCTAAATTCCCAACCCCTCTTTTGTCCATATTATTTGACAGGTGTAAACAAAATAAAAAGAAATATTATAATGCTTTAACATATTATTGACAAATTTTAATTTCTTTCCAAAGTAATTAATATTGTGTTATTGAATGAAAGAATTTTGGCTGAAGATCATACCAATTCATATATATACAGATTTACTTTGGTATGAGTTCTTTTCAGATCCTCAAAGTCTGTTATATTCAAAGGCTTTGAGAGACCAGTTACACACTAAAAGTTTTACGGTTACAGGGATGATCTGTGGTGTGACTAGGCATTAGCACATTGATTATATTCATAGGATTTCTCTCCAATATGTGTTCTTTAATACGCTTGAAGATGACTGGGCTGTGCAAGGGCATTACCACACTGTTTATATTCATAGGGTTTCCCTCAGTTATATATTCTTTCATGCAATTGAGAAGCACTAAGACGAACAAAGGCTTTCCCACACTGATTACAATCATAGGGTTTCTCTCCAGTGTGTGTTCTTTCATGCCTTTGAAGAACACAATTTTGAGCAAAGGCTTTACCACATTGATTACATTCATAGGGTATCTCTCCTGTATGTGTTCTTCTATGCACTTGAAGATTATGGGGCTGTGCAAAAGGGTCTATCACATTGATTAAATTCATAAGGTTTCTCTCCAGTATGTGTTCTTTTATACTTTTGAAGATCACTATGACATGCAAAAGCTTTGCCACATTGTTTTCATTCATAGGGCTTTTCTCTCATGTGTGTTCTTTCATGGAACTGAAGACGATTGTGACGAGAAAAGGCTTTACCACGCTGATTACATTAATAGGGTTTCTCTTCAGTATGTGTTCTTTTATGTACTTGAAGATGACTGGACTGTGCAAATGTTTTACCACACTGATTACATTCATAGGGTTTCTCTCCAGTGTGTGTTCTTTTATGCTTTTGAAGAGTATTGTTTTGAGCAAAGGCTTTACCACACTGATTACATTCATATGGTTTCTCTCCAGTATGTGTTCTTTCATGCAAT